GCATGGCTGGAGCAGAGCACAAAGCGCAGGGATTGCATGGCTGGAGCTGAGAGCAGAGCGCAGGGGTTGCATGGCTGGAGCTGAGCGCAAAGCGCAGGGGTTGCATAGCTGGAGCAGAGCGCAGGGTTGCATGGCTGGAGCAGAGCACAAAGCGCAGGGATTGCATGGCTGGAGCTGAGAGCAGAGTGCAGGGGCTGCATGGCTGGAGCTGAGCGCAAAGCGCAGGGGTTGCATGGCTGGAGCTGAGCGCAGGGTTGCATGGCTGGAGCTGGGAGCAGAACGCAGGGGTTGCATGGCTGGAGCCAAGCGCAGGGTTGCATGGCTGGAGCAGAGCGCAGGGTTGCATGGCTGGAGCCGGGAGCAGAGCACAGGGGTTGGGTCGCAGGCCGAGCGGGCTGGTGGGTGTGTGAGGGAGCAGAGGCTGTGGAAAGGAGAGGCTGGCAGGGAGGTGGGTGCAGAGGCTCTGCTGGGCCGTGGGGGAGGGGGAGGGTGAAGGAGCGCTGTCAGGCCTCGGCCCCTGTGCCGGCTCACCTGTGAGGACAGGAAGCTGCCTTCCCTTCCCGCCTGGAGCCGCCGGCACTGCTGCGGGCAGTGACAGTCTAGAGGAGAGCAGGCTGGAGTGAGCTGTGGGCTCCACTCCTGCTGTCCAGAACCTGCCGTCTACCCTCCTTTCCCCCTGGCTGTCTGTCTGTCTTCCTCTGTGGCTGCCTCCTTCCTCCTGGGCCACCGCTGGCTGAGGAAGCCCTTTTCTGGCTTGGGGAGTGGAGCCGTGGTCCTAGCTCATGCTCTGGCTCTCAGAAGTCACAACCAGAGCGCTGGGGAGGTGAGCAGCCAGATGTTTGGGCGGCCGGGCCCTGGGCACCGTGTTGGGTGGGAATCGGGGGCCCGCCACTGGCACACCTGTCCATCTGGTGGCCGTTACTGCCCAGGTGTCGCAGAGCGGATAGTGCTTTGCCTGCGGGGGTCAAATCACTGTGGTGGAGGCTTTCTGTCCTCTTCTGCGTGCTGGATGCTCCCTCGCTGTGCTTCAGTGCTCACATCGAAGTGCTCCCCGTGCAAGTTCCAGACCTGAGCTGCTTGTACCTGACCCCCACAAAGCCCTGGACAGTTGTGTCGCGTCATGCTGGCTGTGCCTGCGCGTGTCCGGTGCCGCGGGGTGGAGGGCAGGCCCGCGCACCTCCCCAGGCCCCTCACCAGCTTGTGTGGCTGGCTGGACTCTGGTCCCATCGTGTGGGAAGTTGGCTGAGAAGGAAGCTGGGGAGGGGTCCGGTGGAGCCCCCGGTCCTCTTCCGGGTAGAGGGGAGATTGCTCCCGGGCACCGGCTGAACTCCTGAAACGTGATTGCATTGGTTTAACCTGGCTTTCATAAACTTCGATAGATTCCCATGTCTCCACCGTGGCAGAGCTGAAAGTCATGAGCGATTTGCTTATTTGAATGAATAAGATATTCTGGAGTTAAAGCATGGAGTTAAGTCAGGACGGACAGGGTACGCTGCTGCTTCTCATTCTTACCTTCACACACTAAACCGATTTTCCAGTCAGAAGCAGTAAGGTGGATTCGAGCCTGCTCAGAAGATTAAGTTAGGAAATAGATACTCTAGCCGGTTCAGGAATGTCGGAGGATTTATGTTCTTGGCAACTGCAGAAAATGTCGTCATTTTTCATCACCGTCTAGGGTGTGATTCAACCTGCGTTCCTGTGCGCTGAAGTTTAGCCTCCCAGGACTTGCCAGAAATGCACGTGAACAATAGAATTCTTTTGTTCCAGAAGTGTTTTCCCCCCAATATTATGTGGTGGAGAACAAAAGGAAACCTATCACAGTGTTTGTGACCTCGATAATTTGTTGGAAAGTTGGAATTTGTAGGTGAAGCTGTTTTGACTGCTCTCCAGTAATCTCAGGCTGCAGGTGGACAGGAAGGGAGGGGTGGTTAGTTAGCAAGGAAAGTTCATTCAGGTGGCGGGAATTCCAGTCTCTAAGGGGAGTTCCCAAGGTAGCTGGCCATCTTTTTCCTACTGTTTCATGCGTCCTAGAGTGAGAGTTGGTTTGTTTCTCCTTGTAGAGTGCATCAATGGCAGGAGCAAAGTATTGTTTAGCTCATTAACTCACTCAGCATTTATCTATTGGAAACCTTCTGTGTATCAAGTGTTGTTTTTGTAATACAGCTCTCACTAAATCAAATTCCTGCCACAAAATGTCAGTTTGGTCAAATCTGTAATGGAGGTCCATATGAGATGTGAATCTGGTCTCTTAAAGAAAAACCGGTGGTAAGGTGATTGTTAGGCAAATATAAGTAAGTCAGAGATAAGCACTAAAAAGTGCTTCTATGGGGTATTAGAACTTTCCATGTAATGAAAGATCACACTGGCATTGGTGTTTTGAGCCCTTTGAGGAGCCTGGTCTCCGGTGGCTGTGCGGATTTCAGTGCCCCCGCAGTGGGGGGTGGGTGAGGGTCCTCACTGGCGTTTCTGTTGGCCTCTCTTGTGATGATCATCTTGGCTGCGATGAGAGTCTGGTTTCTGTTTCTCTGACAGCGCAGCCCTCAGCATCTTGTCACACAGCCCTTGGTGGGCGGGGCTTGTTTGGAGAATGTTCCCATTTACTAACCCGGTGGCTCTGTTGTTGCTGCAGTTTAGAGTTCTTTATAAATGGTGGATTTTAGTCCTCTGTCAAACAGCTGCCTACCAAAGCCAAGTGCAATTGTCCTTTCTCTCTGATTACCACCCTTTGGATTTGATTTAATCCTGTGGGTCACTTTTTGCTTGTATTTCCTACTCTGGAAATCATTGCCTGTGGCGGTGTCTTGAAGGCATTCCCACCTCTTTCAAGCAGATCCAGAGCTCCAGGCCCCATGTTCAGGTGTTTGATCCATTCGGAGCCGATTTGTGTACCAGGTGACATGGAAGAGGCTGGCTTCCATCTCCTGAACGTAAAGGTCCGCTTTTCCCAGCACCTTTCCTTGTTGAAGAGGCTGCCTTTGCTCCCGCCTTTGTTTTTGGCACACATCAAGAATTCAATGGCTGTAGCTAGGTGGGTTTCTTTCTCAGAACTCTGTTCCATTCAATTGGTCTTTATGCTTGTTTTTGTTACCCTGGCTCCGTAGCATAATTTCAGATCAGATGTTGTGGTACCATCCGTGGTGCTTTTTGCTCAGCAGTCTTTGGTCATTTCGGGTGTTTCATTCTTTCATAGGAATTTCAGAGTTTTTTTTCTCTTCCTGCTGGGAAGAATGTATAATGGGAGTTACATTGAAACGATTAAATTGCTTCAAGTAGTGTGGTCATTTTTGCGTTCTCCCTCTCCATGAACACAGTGTGTCTTTCCATCTTCTGGGGTCTTCTTCGATTTCCCCAGTGTTTTATAAGAAACCTGATTTTTTTTTTTTTTGTGGGGGGGACCTTGCACAAGCTAGATCTGCACCCCACCACTAAGCTTCACTGGGAAATGCATCTTGCATGTTGATTTTGCACCCTGATACTTGTTGGATTTGTTTGTTCTGAGAGTCAGGAGAGTCTTTGGGGTTTTCTAAGTATGTAAAAAGGATAACAACTTCATGTATCCTGTTCGTATCTGTTTTATTTCTTGTCTGATTGCTCAGGCTCAATATATGAATGGATATGCCTGACTTTGTAGCACTATTATTTTGTAGGAATGCTTTGAGTTCCCCTCGCCCCCGTTCATGATGACCTCCTGTTTTCTTGAGCATTTGTGGACCCTGTGTACCACACCTGCTGCCAGGGGTGAGGGGTGACTCTCCTATCTTGAGGTACATTGCTGGGCACACTGGACAGATTGGTCTGCCTGAGAGCAGGTCTTACGAGAATCAGAATGCCACAGGCCCAGCAGTGACTGGACACGCCCAGGCCCCGTTTACATGGTAATACCTTGAGTCCTCTGCTTGCTCAATCATGTGTTATTTCTTCCTTTCTGTTGTGCAATGCCTAGTATTAATTGTTAATTAGTAACTATTAATTCATTCTTTTTGGATCATTTATATAAAACTGGGGGAAACTTTGGATATGAAATTAAGAACTTCGTTGGCTGTGAAGCCATGAGATGAATTTTTAGTGTTCCTGGCTCTTCGTATTTTTTATAGGACAAATCAGATATCCCTGTTTGGACCGACTTCTCATGGAAATGAAACTGTAACGGTTAAAGGGAACTATCCTAGCTCTTTTTTTATTTTTATTTTATTTTATTTTTTTTGTTGGTCATGGGGCTTGAACTCTGGGCTTGGGCGCTGTCCCTGCGCTCTTCAGCTCAAGGCGAGAGCGCTCTACCGCTTGAGCCACAGCGCCACTTCCAGTTTTCTAGTGGTTTATTGGAGATAAGAGTTTCACGGACTTTCCTGCCCGGGTTGTCTTTGAACCGTTGATCCTCAGATCTCAGTCTCCTGAGTAGCTAGGATGACAGGTGTGCGCCACCGGCGCCCGGCTTATTTTTTTATTTTTAAAGGATATCTTTCCCTTGGAAAGGTCCTGCTCACCGTCCTTCCACATGGGAAGGAGGACCACAGTGCCACGTGTGTCAGTGGCACCTACGGGATCAGGGCTCTGACCTGTGCCTCTCACACTGGGCATGCGCTCTCTCAATAGCAACTGCGGCTAGGTGCACCTAAGTAGGACTGGATGCATCGCTTCCTGTAGCATTAAAATTGCTTCTTCTTCATAGGTCACTGCTTAGAAGTGACGCAGATCCTAGTGTGTGTACGTTTTATACATTAAATACGGATACTTCCCCTCGCGTCTTCGAGGAAGACACCTGCTCCACTTTTAATTTGCAAACACACGGAGAAGCATTCATCTCTTAGCATGTTCATCAGCCTCTGTTGAAGTAGATGTTAGTCATTAGGATCTTATTTTCGATAATGTAATGGTTACTCAGACAAAACCGCAGAATTTAAAGTATACGAGGCATAGCAAGCTCCGCTTCAGTGCTTGCTCTTGTGTAATTAGAAATGAAGGAAGACCAATGCTCATTTTTCTTTTTTGTTTTTACATAGCTCAGTCACTCAAAGAATTTGCAAGGCTACTTATTGCTGTAGAAGAAGAGAGGAGAAGACTGGTAAGTTTGGTCTTTATTTTGTTATAATACGTTTTATTTGGGCATATTATAAGAAAGATAAGATGTCAGATAGCTAGATAAGATCTTATGATGTGGATACCTTTACTAAATGCTACATATGTTTGTGGAATTGTTCATTTGTAAATATTATTAACAAGGTACACTATATGACTTACTTCATTTGTTCAGCAGATACAAAGATGCCACGTGCATCAGTGGTACCTATGGGTACCATTCAATTGTTCTGGGAATTGAAACTATTGAAGAAAATGGCCCATTAGAAACCATTTCTAACTGAGCCAGCATGCCTGGGTTATCTTATAATAGCTATAGTATTAAAAATATTGGTGTATTTCAAGCATGAAAGGCAGTTTGTAGGAGGAACTGACTCTGGCACTTATTAGAAGAGTTTCATGGAAAAGTGCCATGAGAGCTGGGAGAACTTTCTTCCTGGGAAGAATGAAGAGAACTTTCTAGAGCTTTCTAGGTTAACTTGGATGAGAGCACAATTCTTGGTAAACACATTTATCTGTTTAAAAAAAATTGGACTCAGTGTATTCAGATTTCTTTCTGTACAGTCCCTGTCTGTGGTCCACTGTTCTAGCTGTAATATGGGGAAAGCTGTCATGCAAACCCTAATGCATTTATGTTGCAAAGCGTTTATTAATGCAAAGCCCAAAGCATGTACGTTGCAAAGCACGCATTGCGTGCATGTGGCATGTGGGAATCCACGCTCATGTGTAAGGACGGGCATCTTGGGTGCTGTTGGCTTCAGGCTCCAGTTGGGGTTATGTATCACACGTGCCATACACAGAAGGCGCGTGTGGATAGGAAGTGGCGTGCTTTGCTGCCGTTCTGACCAGCGGCTTAGGGGACGCAGTTTGAGTAGCTGCCTTGGTGACGGTGAGCCCCTCGGGTGTCACCAGAGCTGCGGAAGGGTGGCACGGTGGGCAGTGTGGCCGGCACACCAGCGTGGACCGATCCCGAGGCAGGAACAAGTGCTGTACTGGTCACACAGGGCGTCGGATGGCCGCCGGGAGGTTTGTAGAAGGAGGGCAGAGCCGCCGCCGCCGTGTCTGTGAGGGTGAAGAAGGAGAGGGGGTGGGGTGGGTGGGGGGAGGGGAAAGCGAGGGAGGATATGGCATTCGGGAAGCAGCAGCTCTTCGCGGGTCTCCCGTCAGAGCTAGCACCCTGCCACCTCACGCTGGGGCACACACGCCGTCCAGGAGCACTACTCTGTGGTCAGAGCTTTGCTATGAGCGTGACTTTGACTTGGGACTTGAAGCCTGGTTAGATGCTGTTTCAAGAGCTTTGCGCCTCATCCATACTTTAGCTGTATGAATGACACAGTGGAAACCCAGCTTCTGCAGGGGGACCTGGGGAGGGCAAGCATGCATGTGTGTGCACGTGCACTGTGTGTCTGTATGTGCATGCACATGTGTATTGTGCGCATGCACGTGCATGTGTATTGTATGTGCATGCACACACATGAATGCATGTGTCACGTATATTGTGTATGCATGTGTGTACGTGCAAGCATGTGTGCATTGTCTATGTGCACATGAGTGTGCATGTGTGTATCTGCATGTGTGCTATATGTGCATGCATCTGTTTGTGTTGTATCTGCATGCGTGTGCATGTGTGTATGTGCGTGCATGTGCGTGTCGTGTGTGTGCATGCATGTGCGCATGGCCTCAGAGGGGTAGGTGACAGAAGAGGAGAGAGGAGTTGGGAGGTGTGAGGATGAAGGTGGGAAGTGTTGTGGATGCGGTGATGGGTGGGGGGAGGAGGTACAGCTCTGGAAGGGCGAGGCTCTGATTCAGACCCTGCACAAACATCTAAGGAGAGCAATAAACCAACTGGCGTGGGTTATACTTTAATAGATGCACACAGTAGGGCGGTCAGGCCGTGGTCCCGTGGTAGAGGGGAGACTTTGCAGCCTGGGGGAAAACGCCGCTTCTGAGCTGGGAGAAGAGGAAGAGAGGAACCATGAAAACCCAGTAGAAAGTGGGGAACAATGAAGGGACTGACAGGGCAGGTGGAGAATGGAAGAAAGAAGCAGGAGGGGTGGCAGAGTTTAAAACAAACAGAGGCAGGCTCTGGAGGAGATCCAAGGCCAGAGATAACAGCCATGCGAGTTAGTCATCATAATTACGTTAAGGGAAGAAGGAGCACTTCCATGCACTCTTGGACTTTTGTGGTAAGTCCGACACTGGGCTGTGTGTGTGCGCGGTGTGCAGCCGGAGGGTCATATCTGAGTAAATAGTTGTCAGAAGACATTCTGGGTTCGAGGGACCTGGTCTCTGTGACTGGCTGATGGAAGAGAAGTGGAGGCAGAAATAGCACGTAGGGAGGGCTGGCATGACTCCTGAGCCCGGGCCCCTCGGCTGACGTCAGGGTCAGGAGTGGAGCAGGCCAGTATTGGATGTGCACACAGGGCAAAGGTCACAGGTGAGGGAGAGCCCCATGGGGTACGAAGGTCGAGCCACCTGCTCTCTGTGCTTCAAAGATCTCCACATTGACCTTCGGCTGGGCTTCTGGTGTGGGCTGAGGGCAAGTTCTGCTCTCACAAGTGGAGATGAGTTCATACGGCTGAGCGTCACTAACCCCAAGTCCAGATGCTGTAAAATCCACTTTTTTTTTTCTCTTTTTAGTGCTGATATGACATTCAAAAAGTGAATGGTTTTGGAGCAATTTGATTGCAGTCCGCTTAACTAATAAGGTCTATGAAAAATCTCAGAAACTCAGATATCTGAAAATCCTCTGGTCCCAAGCATTTCAGATAAGGTTTACTTGTGCACTGATTTTGAAGAAGAGGAAACTCAAAAATAAAAGCAATACTAGAGGCCCTGCAAGGATTGGAGCCCAGGAGTTGGACTCTAGAATCTTCCTGTAATTTATAATGTTCCAAATTAAATTTCTATTGAACTAAAACTGCATCAATATCAGTAGATCATCTTTATTGTTAAGAGTATTTAAGGCGCATGAATAAGTACTCCAGGGGCCTTACTGATATCTCGAAAACCACTGAAGAGATATGATCACAAGTTTGAAGTTTCTTCGGTTAATTTCCAAATACGTGATTATTTTGCTTATTTATTTATCTGTGTATTTATCCACTTTCTGCTGGCACTGGGGTTTGAACCGCAGCCTGTGCAGTTGCTGGCCAGTTGTGCCCTACTTAGTTCATGAATTCTTTTCTGAAGAGTGGCATCATAATGGCTGATATTTGGTGGTTATCTAGAAAATGGCCAGATTGAAAGACTTACAAGTGGTTTCATGGGAACTTTCTACGTTCTACGCTCCTGTTTTCCAAGATCCTTTCCTACCCCCCTCTTGTGGTTTATGTGGATGGTAAGGATTTGAGCAAACCCCTTCCCCCCAAAAAATGTCCTATGGAAAGAGCATCCATTTAAAATAGGACAGTCGAGGTAAAGTACTTTCACATGCTTCTGATTTTCCTCTTTGTCAAATGACATTTTGTGGTGCACTTTCCTCTTCAGTTTTGCTGCTTCCGCACGAATCTTTGGTTTTGGGCGGGGTTATTGTTGCTTTTGGTTGTGATATTCTTAGGAGCCACTGTAGCTGGCACCTGGACTCAGCCCCTGGCCTTCTACCCCAACCCTGCCCATCTCTAGTTACCTGCCATCGCCGTCTGTGCCAGCTCCACAGCCCGGCTTACCTGTGTATCCGATTGAAATCTCTCCATGATTGCCTCTGTACTTCACGTTTGCTCGGCAGGGTTGTTGCTCTTTTTGCTTTGAGTAGTGTTGGGGATATGGTTAATGCTACTGTCTTCATAAATGATGTCCTCCTGTTCACCATTAAAGGTTGGGAAGCACACCTTTTATTTTCTGAAAGGTAAATGTAAAGAATTAGGTATTTACTCGGCACATCTTCTGTCATCTGCATGGGGAGTTTAATTTTACAAGACAGGGAAAAAATAAAGCTAAAGCCAGTTGCCCATGGCTCACACCTGCCATCCTCAAGGAGCTTGAGATCTGAGGATCACGGTTCAAAGCCAGCCAGGAAGATCTGCAAGCCTCTTAACCACCCAGGCACCAGACATGGAGCTGTGGCTCGAGAGGTAAAGTGCTGACCTTGAGTAGAAAAGCTCAGGCCCTGAGTTCCAGCCCCAGGACTGGCACCAAAAATAGGCCTGTTTGTCTATGATGCAGCTGATAATGTTCACCGTGGAGAGAATCTTGTCTAGCGTCTGTTTATACCCCGGATAATTTAGTCATTTGAAGCTTCATTATTTTAATTGGCGGCAGTAATTTCCTGTGCCTTTTGCTCTTTTCAGACAAAGGTTTACAAGGTTTCACTGCCAGCCTCGGAAAAGAAAGCTATAAAAACGAGACGAGCTTGGTGTTTCCACAGTGATGTGACCAGAGTTTACACATGGGATGGGGAGTGGGAAATGGGGCAGCCGGGTGGTGGCAACGCTCTGGGGGTGAGCCGGTGGCCTGGCCAGGTGTGTGGTGATGAGTGAAAGACAGACGCTGGACAGACAGCCCTGCGGGGTGCAGGCCGCCACCCCTCAGAGGCCGCTCAGGAGGCGTGAATCGGGCTGGGTGGAGCCTGGCCCCAAGCAGAGTCCATTTAGGCTTCAAGAGAGCAGGGATTGTGAGCGGCCCTGCGGCTGTGTACCTGTGTCAACTGTGTCGTGAGTCGTGGGTGTGAAGCAGTGTCACACCACATGCCACACGTAGACCTCTCCCCTCTGGTTAAGACCAGACATGGCTTCCAGACATTGCCAGGCAGCCCCTCCTCTCCCCCAGGCCTGCCGTGTAGTGGGTTTCCTGGGAGCAGTCAAGTTCAGAACTTCTAGGTCTAATGGTCTAATGTATTTCTAATGTATCCCTTAGTTACCTCTTGGAGTTAACCCGGCTCACCATTAATTCAGGATAATTCTTAGTCCCTCTGCTTGATCTAAGTTTTCAAAAGATAGGGCAGCTTCTTGGTTTTATTTACTTAGTAGCTAGCCTTGTTTCCTTATG